ATAAATTCCATTGTTACTTGATGTTAATTTTATTGCTGACAGTCATTTGTCCTTTAGGATACACTTCTGAAAGCTGGTGTAAAGAACCACAGTTTCTCTAATACGGATCGACAAGACTATCTTGAAAGAACTGGTTAAGTGTGTAATAGGGAACATGTAGGCTGACTACAGGTGAGCACTTATTTTGGAGGTTCAGGTTAGATATCTTGGAACCATCAGCAAGAAAGGGTAGGTCCTGGTGAATTGCTTTAAAATAAGGCTCAACCTCTAATGGTGTGTATTCTTAAATTGTCTTTATTTGATTTTGAACTGCAGTTTTATATAATATGCTCTATTTGTTAGAAGTAGATGGTTCTAGAGATCCCCATGAACAGGCAAACCTACCTATAAGCATAGGTGCTGAGAATTAGTCTTTAAGCTCTTACCTTTAACACTTGCTTCTCTCTCTCTAGGAGGGGCTATCTATAGGCAGCCTATGTGATTGAGGATAGATCAGCAGCAGGAAGCAAGAAATATTAGAAATCAAGAATCCTGAATTCCCAAATAAGGAAGGTTTCCTGTTCTTACATTTAAATATGGGTTTGTCTGAGCTGGGAATTTACAACGCTTCAGAATAATAGGGTATGTTTTACTGAAATCATTAGGAAGATTATTCTTTTCCATAAAAATTGCCTGCCTCTTTGACTGATATAAGCAACCTTAATATAGAGCATCACATTAAAATGTATGCTCTGTTTTTTAATACACATTACGCTGTAAAGCAGTGAGCAAATTCTGCTAATTTAGTAATTGTAAAGTCAAATGGTGTTGTTATGAAACTAAATTAGACACGTTAAAAATTATTGAAATGAAAGTCATTAATCAAGTGAATAATTGAAGAGTAAGGAATCAAATGGTTAATAATTGAAGGTTTTTTTAATCCTATTTAAGGAAACAAAACTTGGTTATAATGTTCTTCAAAACTAAAATCCCTTTTTAAAAAGAATAAGTATTAAAATTTTTCTAGATTAGTTTAAAATGCGAACTCTGAAAATCTTACAGCTTAGAAATTTAATCAGTTATTTTAGTGATGCAACCTTTAATTTGAAAATGAAAATTAAAATATCTGAGATTTTTCTGGATGGACTTCTGCTGGGCATAAGGCATCCTTGGAAATGCCTTAAAATTAGACCAGTCCAAATCATTTTTAATAACCTATTTGTAAACACTTTTAAAACTATTTGATCATCATGTTATATGAAATTTAATGCATTACTAATGAATTTTGGTATGTGTTAAAGTAGCCTTATAATTTTCTTACAGTATACATTAACAAATAAAGATCCACTTAATTTTTAAAAATCTATTTTGATTTCCTTTTCATTGAATTTTTCCTAATCACTCTTAATTTATTGAAGTATGCTATGGAAGCTTAACTCGGGATAACTTCTTTTCCATTTCCCCTTTGAAATGCTTTGCTAAGCTTTCTGAGGTCAGAAATGGATAACAATGTTTCTTAGCTATAGCAAAGATGGTGTGTATATATATATATATGGCTTGCTTTCTAACCTGTGCTTTCCTTAACTGGAGAAGATAATGAGCCAAAGAAGTTTAACTTATTTTTTGGCTTTCACTAAATTATCTTTAAGAAATTTAAGTATATACAGATTGTGACAATATATAGTAGTTTTCTGACTACTGCTTTTTTCTTCCTATTTTCTTTCTGTTTTTGTAATAGCTGTGGTACTCTTCCTTCAAATGAAACTAGCCAAATCCAAGGCATTTTACACTTAAGGAAAGAAAGGAATGAAAATTTTATTTAGAACCCTATTATTTGATACAAATCAAAATGAAATGGCACAGGTTAAAACAGTCAAATTGACAGTCATAAAGGAAAAAATGCTGTTTAGCTGATGTCAACAGAGGACATTTATTAAAGGAAAATGTATAACTTCAGTGTCTTTGAAAGATTTGATGAACTTGATAAATTTCTTAACACATGGCTTCTTTGGCTCTTCTGGATGGGCTTCTGCTTGTTGTAAGGCATCCTTGGGAATGTCTTAAAATTAGGCCAATCCAAATCATTTTTAACAACCTATTTTAAGTGTTTAATAAGTGTTACAAATTGAAATAGCTAGGATAGAATAATAAAATACTTAATTTCCATATATGTAATGAACTTACAAATTCCAACAAAAAATTATTAAGAGTTAATGTCTCTCCCATGTGGATATACAGTACATCTTACTCAGTTGTCTTTGTTAATTAACCAAGTTTTTTGTTAGTGTAATTAAGCTAGTTGATGTTTATAGATACACAATACTTAGTATATGGCACATATTCTTCTAAGAATTATTAATTAATTCCCATAAAAACCTTAGCAGCAAGTTCTGTTATTTTTACAAGTGAGGTAACTGAGGCACAGAGAGGCTGTGTAACTTGTTCAAGTTTATATATAAGATACGAAAGTAGACAGTAAACATATTGAAGGAAGCAAATTTTCATTTATTAATATTCAGTCTTTTTACGAATGTTTACCTAAATTTACCTTTAGGATAGATACAAAAATATATTTTGAAACTTTGGTAAAGATAGGAAGTACTTGAAAGATTTTACTTTTAAATATTCTTGGCTTGGTGCCTATAGCTCAGTGGTTAAGGAGCTGGCCACATACACTGGGGCTGGTGGGTTTGAACCTGGCCTGGGCCTGCTAAACAACAATGATGACAACCACAACAAAAAAATAGCTGGGCATTGTGGCAGGCACTGGTAGTTCTAGCTACTTGGGAGGCTGAAGCAAGAGAGTCGCTTTCGCCCAAGAGTTTGAGGTTGCTGTGAGCTATGACGCCATGGCATTCTACCAAGGACAACATAATGGGACTCTGTCTGAAAAATAAATAAACAAATATTCTTAAGTCATAAATGTAGCATTAATATCTATAACCTAAGAAATTTTATACAGTTATGCTGATATGATAAACAGTCACATAGTTATGATGTTAAGTTCTTTGAACTAGAGTTACTATTTGCAGTATACTTCCTAAAAAATGTAGACTACTTTTGGCACTACTTGTAGCAGCTTTTGAAATTATGTTTTAACTTAAACAACTTCTTAAGTTTTCTGCAGGAAAAGTATAGCATCCTAAATCCATAGTAAGTTTAACTGGCTTCTACCTGTCTTAGCTGATTTAATATAGTAAATTTACATTTCCTAATTCAGATGTGGGTAAGCATTTTCTTATCAAAGCCTAATTATTTAAATGGAAAAAAATCACTTTTTAATAGAGTAGTTTTAAAAAGGAACTTAGTTTTATATTTTAGCCACTCTCAAAGTGTCTTGTGTGCTTTGTGAAAAGCATGTTAAATGGTAAGGGGCCACACAGTCTTTTCCACTGGTACTTGTATAAGCATATCTTGATAATGCGATAAAGCCAAGAAAGGCAAAGATCACACCTTTTTATCCTGAGGAATGGTACAGTTTATGTAGATTCCACTGTTCCCTTTGCTCTTTTAGACAATTGCTATCAAATTGTTAAAATCTTGTTTTACTCTTGTAACCATATGTATTTATGTCACCTTTTGGTATTTATAGGCTACAGAGTCTTCCCTATTACCCCGGTAGAAAACATAAACTCATCTTAAATTATTTAAGTAATAATAGATCTGTTCTTATAGCAAGATTTAATAGTATTGTTAGAGAACCTTTTAATTATAGTTCATGCATAGAAATTTAAAAGACAAGAAATATATTTATATCATATAACATTGACTTATAATCACAGAGTGATTGGGGGACCAAGTTCCTCAATAAATAAAGAATACTTACAATTCAATTTAAAGAAAACTAGCCATCTAATTAAAAAGATAGACAAAGACCATAAATAGCTTAAAGCAAAAGACTTCCAATAAAAATATAAAATATGAAAAATGAAGGCCGGGTATGGTGGCTCATGCCTATAATCCTAGCACTGGGTAGATTGCCTGAGCTTACGAGTTCGAGACCAACCTGAGTCAGAGCAAGACTATATCTCTAAAAAATAGCCAAGCATTGTGGTGGGCTCCTGTAGTCCCAGTTATTTGAGAGGCTGAGGCAAGAGAATCTCTTGAGCCCGAGAGTTTGAGGTTGCTGTGAGCTATGACATTATGGCACTCTACCAAGGGCAGCAAAATGAAACTCTGTCTCAAAAAAAAAAAAAAGAAAAGAAAGGAAATATGAAAAATGCTCAGCCATACTCATATAAAAGGAAATGTAAACAAAAAATACAAAAATATGCTCAATTGCACTCATATAAAAGGAAATATAAACTAAAACTATTACAGCATACCATACTGTTAAGAATAGGGCAGTTCTGAATTACTGTTAATCATACGAACTGAACCAATTCATGATATATAATTAAAAGAAAAACAGAATTCAGTTCAGCATATGGATTAATTATACTTTATGTTATATTAAATGATATATATGTGTATGTATTGGATATCAACAAAAGGATACTTAAGAAACTGCTGCTGGAGGCAGCTAGGTAGCTGATTGGGGGGAGTGGAAGAATACTTTTATTTTTTTTTTCATATCTTTTAAATATTGCTGCTGGCATGACTGCCTTTTTACTGTAACCTTTGGAGGGAAAATATTAAGTCATAGAATATTAAAATCTACAAGGAAACTATCCAAGCTATTCCTTTCACAGCTGATTTAGAATTGCCCTGGTTTAGCATAACTGCCAACTTTACATCACAGAGCTGCTGATTTCAGTTTAGCTCATCTTTTGTTTTACCAGTAATTCTCAACTGGGTAGCACATCTTAATGTGATCTCAGTTACAGAGATCCTATCTCTTATTCATCATTGTATTCCAGTTATCAAGCATATATGAGGTATTCAGATTTCATCTTCAGTTTTGAAAGAAGAAAAAAAATTTTCATTTTCAATTAAAATTTATAAGTGTATTTACCATAGTATAATTTTGATCTATACTAAAGCAACATTTTTAAAGGTATAATTTATTAATCATTTTTCAGACTCTGGCTTCATGTCCTATTGACCGAAAACCTTTTCAGGCCGTGTTTAAATTCAGTGCATTGGAAGGTTGTATTAAGGTAAGTCTTAGATTTTATTTTGAAGCATGAACTACATAAAATTAATTGAGGCTATTTTGCACTGATAAATTTCCACTTCATGTATATTTGAAAATTCTACTTTAGGTTTAATATTTGATACTATTCTTGTTCAAAATGACAAAGTTAGACGTTTCAGTGGGGATACTGAAATTCTGAGGCTTTTTTCCTTTACCCCCTAAAGAGGGCATTTCCCATAGGGTCATCTTTGTAATATTTCACAAATTAAGAGCTCTGATGCTCTAATGGAAGTTTCACACTAAGTCTTAAATACAGAATACTTACATGTTAAGACTCTTTAGCCTGAGGACTGCTATATTTGAAAAACAATTTTTAATTGGATAGTACTTCAAGTACATTTTTTTATTGAAAAATATTTGAAAAACAAAGAAAAATATTTGAAATGGACTATAAGGTTCAAAGAATCCCTAAAAAAACTTAAGCCCAAAATGACTAAAAGCCATATTTTCATGAAAAATATTTTAATTTGAGTTGTTAAAAGTAAATATAAAATGATGTTCTTGTTCTTCATTGCTGGTTACCACACTGATGCTACTGTCTATGTAAATAGGAAAAGAGGTGGAAGCATTGTGCAACTCTTTAAACATTAGTTGTTCTCAGTGTAGGCATCTATAATTTATTTTGATATATTTTTAGCAAGTGAGTTTTGATGCAAGATACAAAACAGCAATTCAGATAAAGTGATGAATGTAAAAAATGATTTACTTGTTTTGATTGTGTAACTATGCCATCAATGCAAATTGGTATATGTATATATCATGAAGGAAATGTAACATTATTTAAGTGTAATATAATAAAAATGAAAGTTTGGCTTCTTTGGATGACCTGTTTTCCACTTTTCCAAACTGTGTGCATAATTATTTTGCTAATGATTTATTAGTTGTTAGGCTTCCAAATATATTTTTCTGTGAAATTTTGTTCTGTTGCTTAGAATAAAAATTTATTTTTATTTGATAGGGGTTATATCTTGTTTAAATTAAAAACTTGGTGTAGTGCTAATCTAATTTTGTCTAACTTAAAGGAGATTTTGTGTCCTTTGAGATACCTTCTGCAATCCCTGGAAGTCGCTCTTTGACCTTACCTGCTTTGGAATTTTCCCTATATAATCTTTTCTCTTTCACAACTGAATTTCTCAAATGAGACTTTTCCCTTTTCTCAATTCTTTCTTACTTTTCAGCTCCTATTAGTTCATCTTATTCTACTAAAACTGTCCTAAGGTCCAGACTAACCTGTTGATTTCCAAATCCCATGGTTTGTCTTCTGCTTGTAATGCTGTTGACTACCTCTACATCCGTTGGCTTCTAGGGCAGCCTTCTCTTGTGGGAGAGTGTGTGTATGGGTGTGGGTGTGACTTATCTCACCTTTCACAATCTTCTTTGTTCTCTCCTTACTGTTCTGTGCCTTTTTTAATCACTGAAGCTCATTATAGGATCTTCATTTCAGTTCTCTGGGTATACTTTCTCTCTAAATCTTCTCAGCTATTCATTAAGTACTACCTATATTTGGTTGCTTCTAAAATTCCGTCACTAGCCTGGGTCTCTTTACTGAGAACCAGGCCAAGATTTCCAATCACATTTTGTACATCTCCATCTAGGATACCAAAAGAATCTAAACAATTAACAAATCCTGAACTCGTCTCATTCCCTGCCCCATTCCCCAGCCCCAGTTGTTAATGGAATGTCAACCCCATTCATCTTAGTCAAAAACTTCTGGGAGTTCTCTTTTTCTCTCCCACACGTTTGCTTATTTTATGTCGCTCAGTGTCTTAAATTTGTTTTTCCTTTATTCTTCTATTGCCTCTTTGTAGGCCCTCAAGCTGTCATCTAGAGCAGTACTGTCTAATATACTGTAAGCTATTTTATAATTAAAAAAATTTTAATAGGCACATTAAAATAGTAAAAAGAAACAGGTGAAATAAATGTAATGATATATTTTAGTTAACACAATGTATCTAACATTATTTTAACATACAATATTTTAAATAATTTATCATTGAGAGATTTTTATATACTTTTTATAACATTGTACTAAGTCTGTGAAATTCCTTGTGTATATACATCTATATTTCCCTGAAATATACTTACAGCACATCTCAATTTAGTTAAGTCACATTACAAGCACACTCAGTGGCCATATGTGGCTAGTGACAATTGTCTTGGACATGTAGCCCTATTATAAGGGTTTTTTTTTTTGGTTTCCTGGTTTTTATAGTCTCTTTTCAACTGATTTCATTCTCCATATTAGGGCCAGAGTTATCTTCCTAAAAAACAGATATGATCATCTCATATATTTGCTATAAAAATTCTAGTTACTCTCTGATGCCTATAGAATTATTTTCTTATTGAAGGACCTTCATAGTCTGTTTCTAACATGTTTGATCAACTTCATCTCTCTCTCTTTTTTTTTTTGGAGACAGTCTTATTATGTTGCCCTCAGTAGAATGTCGTGGCGTCACAGCTCACAGCAACCTTAAACTTTTAGGCTTAAGTGATTCTCTTGCCTTAGACTCCAAAGTAGCTGGGACTACAGGTGCCCACCACAATGCTGGGCTATTTTTTTGTTGTAGTTGTCATTGTTGTTTAGCAGGACCAGGCCAGGTTTGAACCCACCAGCTCCAGTGTATGTGGCTGGCACCCTAATCACTGAGCTACAGGCACTGAGCCAACTTCATATCTTGTTATTAACTTTTTTCCCCATCTAACTTGGCTTCTCACTGTTTCTTATATCTCTCTTCTTTCTTCTATCTGTAAAATTTTTTACTTAGGCAAATTACTGTCCATTCTTTAAGACCAACTTATAAATCATCTACTCATTAAAGTCTTCTGTGACATCCTCAGAGTTAATTTCTTAATCTTCCTATTTTGTTTCCCCAGAGCACATCTACTAAGCTTATGGTTTAGCATGTTTGAATGAATAGCATATGTATTTTTTTTTTTTTTCCAGTTTTTGGCTGGAGCTGTGTTTGAACCCGCTCGCTACCTCTGGTATATGGGGCCGGCACCCTACTCCTTAAGCCACAGGTGCCACCCAAGCATGTGTATTTGGACTATACTTTTCATTTATCATCTTCCTATCAAGGAAGAATTGAAAAGTTGTCATTTGTAAAGTTGGATTAGTGCTTTAAGTAGATGATGTTGCTTTTCTCACAGGTTCAAGTAAAAAGACAGTTGAGAGAAACAAAAGACCAGAAAAATGAAAACTCTTCTAAGAAACAACTCCCCTGTCATGAAAATTTTAAATGCTGTATAAGGTTAGTGATTAACTTTAGAATCTAAATGAGTAGAACCAGGAATGAACTGGTACAAAAAGAGTAAAAAAAAGAAGTGGGGTTTAGGTTTAAGTGTATTTAATTACTTCTTTGAAAGCACACACTTGATCATTTAAAGAAGGACCCGATAAAATCTAAGAATATAATTTGAGCTCTATCTTTGGTTTTTTGGTAAAGAATTGGGTCCTTTCCCCAGGTTTTTTTCCTAATTAGTTGTATACCAAAATTTTTATAAAATAAAATGTTAAACAGTGTAAAATTTCTATTAAAATTTCTGAATGCTCTCATTTTTATACTTAATCTCAAACTAGTAATAAACACCACAGAGTAGCACTACTCTAGTTATTTATGGACAAAAAGTAGAAAGTTACTAAAGATACAGCACAGAGTTCTTCGTGAGACAGTTATAATTTAAATAACTTATCTCTCACATTTTGCTTTGTTGCTGTCAACTATAATGAATTTATGTTGAAATTGTTTCTTAACAGTAGCAGTTAAAGTTATAAAATTTGTTCCAATGTAGTTATTAACTCTGGGGCTCATGTGTAAGTTCTTGAAGTGGTATTCCACATTTATTTTGAAATTATATACAAAGTGTTGTATATGCAAACATGTATTTTTCTAGCAAGAAGGATCTATAGTATTCTTCACATTCTCAAAGAAATATGAGAATTTTTTAATTGCTACTGTTAAAACCATTTCCCTGTTTTCACATAATTGCCTAGAAATACAGTGAGTGCTTAGTTCTTGAGCTTTGTAAGTATTTTTAATATTTTTTGAACTAAATTGAATAAGAGTAGGGTACTGGAAATTAACTTAATCCTTAGGGTACTGGAAATTAACTAATCCTTACATTAACTTATGTTCTAATATATTTAAAACTTAAGCCCATTTTAATCTGAAATATATTTAGAACCATCTAGAAGTTGTAGTTTTAAGTCAGTATATTGTCAGATTCGTAATTAATTCTATAATTCATCAGTACATTTTATCAGAATACTAATTTTTTTTTTTTTTTTTTTTTTGAGACAGTCTCACTTTGTTGCCCTCAGTAGAGTGCTGGGGCCTCATAGCTCAGAGCAACCTCAAATTCCTGGGCTCAAGTGATCTTCTTGTCTCAGCCTCCCAAGTAGCTGGGACTATATGGTGCCTACCACAACATCTAGCTATTTTTAGAGATGGGTCTCGCTCTGGCTAAGGCTGGTCCTGAGCTCAGGCAATCCGCCCGCCTCATCCTCATGCTAATTTCTTAATAGTAAATTTATTTAATTACTAAAACAGTTGGCAATAGTCACTGAGATTTATTGAACCTATCACTAATTTATAACATTGTAGCTCCTTAGATCCAACTTTTGAGTAGTTATGGATTTCTTTGAGAATGTGAAGAATACTATAGATCCTTTTGCTAGAAGAATACATGTTTGCATATACAACACTTTGTATATAATTTCAAAATAAATGTGGAATACCACTTCAAGAGCTTACACATGAGCCCCAGAGTTAATAACTACATTGGAACAAATTTTATAACTATTTCTGAACCAGGTTTAGTTCTTGCATTTATGTTTGCACAGTGGTTATTAGTAGCATACTTTTCCCAGGGGTAGTGTGGAAATATCTTTTGGTAGGTTCGTTCTTGATACAACTTTTATCACTATGACAATGTCACGGATGTGCATTGTTGTGCCTCCTCAAAATTACCCAGTTATCTTGGCTCTTGCTGAGAGTGCAGTGGTTATCCATGAATGACGTGTCAGGCTCATTTCTGTTATTTTGGGCTCACATTACTAAAATCGTCAACATTTTTAACTGCTTTTTCCCAGTGATTTGTCACAAAGGGGTGGCATAGGGAAATAACAGAAGAAAAATAATGATTTGCCTTTGCCTGCTAAGTCATATTCTTAACAATTTCTCTCAAAGAGGAAAATTGGTCAGCTGTGGGATATTTACAGGATATTCTTCAGAGACAGACTCTCACTCTGTCCCCCTGGCTGGAGTGCCGTAAAGTGATCATACAGCTCACTGCAGCCTTGAACTCCTGGGTTCAAATGATCCTCCCATCTCAGCTTTATAAGTAGCTGGGACTTTTTTAATTTTAACTGGTTAATTTTAACTGTTTTTTAAAATTTTTATAGAGATGGGGTTTTGTTACGTTGTCTAGGCTGGTCTTCAACTTGTGGCTTCAAGCAGTCTTCCCACTTTGATCTTCCATAGAGTTGGGATGGAAAGCAGGAGCCACGATGCCCAGCCAAGATTAACGTTGTTTTTTTTTTTCTTTTTGAGACAGTCTCATTATGTCACTCCTGGAAGAGTGCTGTGGCGTCGTGGCTCATAGCAACCTCAAACTCTTGGGTTTGAGCAGTTCCCTTGCCTCAGCTTCCCAAGTAGCTGGGACTACAGGCGCCCGCCACAGTGCCCAGCTGTTTTTTTGTTGTTGTTGTCATTGTTGCTTAGCAGGCCCAGTTGGTTCGAACCCACCAGCCCCTCTGTGTATGTCGCCAGCGCCCTAACTACCAAGCTATGGGTGCTGAGCCCAAGATTAATTTTTAAAGACCAATTTGATACAACTTGTTCATTGTATATTAAAATCTACCCTGACGTTTTAACGTCTAATGGGAGTCTGTGAGAATATTACACCATTTACCTGACTTTGAAGATAATTAATAAATCAGTACATAATTGATTGATTTCATTTTGATGGATAGTGAATTGAAGATATATAAACAAAATGACAGTTTTAATTATTTCACCTCTTTATTGATGTTTACAGAAAAAAAGCCATCATAAGAGAAGATCTATTAAGTGAAAAATGTTATGGCTTAAAGATGATACATAGTAAGTGACTTTTTGCTTATGTGTTGTACCTTTTTTTGTTTTTTAATTTAATGTTATGCCAGAGTTTTCATGAGTAGCATTTTGGTTTGGAAAATAGTCATCTTCTGAGCTCTGTACATTGTATGGTAAGTCCTACATAAATTTTGTTTTCATGAAATCATTTATAACGTTCCCTATTCTTTTAGTGTCCCTACTTTTTTATTCTTTTTGCTCAGCTTGGAGAGAGGGGAGTATGTATGTGTTTGACAGTTTACTTGGTATTTAGCAAACTTACACTGTGGTCTTCATTCATTAGTGCAGAAATTCTTATGGGTCATGAAATAAATACCTTGTGGGCCAATAACTCTATGCAGCCAGAGGGAAGTTTGTGACAGCAAGCAGCTAATTCATGAGGCCCAGAAGCAGTTGTGATTTGGCCTTTATCCACACTTCTAGTTAGAAACTTTGGAAATAAAACACATCCAACATACTTACCTACCTGAGCTGTTAAATATACCTATCTTTTATTTTTTTCTAGTAGATGGTTCTCTTAGTACGGGAAGATTTTGTAGCAGGGCTTGAGTAAAAATGGCACCATCTGTAGTCCTTTGTGACTTCTCCTTGGGGTTCAGACTGTTTATTCTGTTTCAGAGAACACCTTATTATTATTTATTTGTAATCAAGAAGGTGGGTATTTATTTTCCAGGCCAGGTCATAGAGAATTTGTGTGTGTGTAAAATTATTTAATTGGCTGGGCATGGTGGCTCATGCCTATAATCTTAACACTCTGGGAGGCTGAGGTGGGTGGATTGCCTGAGTTCACAGGTTTGAGACCAGCCTGAGCCATAGTGAGACCTGGTCTCTAAAAATAACTGTGGCAGGTGCCTGTAGTCTCAGCTACTTGGGAGGCTGAGGTAAGTGAATTGCTTGAGCCCAAGAGTTTGAGGTTGCTGTGAGCTGTGATGCCATGGCACTCTACTGAGGGTGACAAAGTGAAATCGTGTTTCAAAAAAAAGAAAAAAATATTGAATTAATGAATTGTGAAAGAGTGAGTGGATTCATTATTTTAGTGGGTAAATAACTTCATTTTTTAATACATTATGAATATGAAGTTTGACTAGTTTTTTGTTTCTGTTTTTCTGATTTGAATTAACATGATCTCTCAGGTTCCAGATTACAGATTAACAAATGTTCTAACTTTGATAATTCACGATTAATGTGAAATTGCCTTAGAAGTTATTTGTTTTGATTTTTGGAATTTAGTTAAAACATGTTTAGTAATGTTAGATATGGTAACAGTCTTCGTTTTTTATGTCATTGCTATAGGTTAGCATCCTTTTTTATGAATAGCTTTGCTTGCCAAGTCTAGGATCTCATATAAAATTTACTGCTGATAAAATTTACTGCTGAGGAAGATTAAATGTTGTTAACAGATTTTTCCCTGGGTAATCTGACCCACTCTCACTATACTGATCTTAGTTTTAAGACCACTATGATTTTCTTAAAGTATATGTATCTCCTGCCTGGGTTTATTTTTAGAGAGTAAAACATAGGCAGATCTTAAATCCATAGTGTTTCAATATAGTGAATGTCCTACATAAGAATCTGTGAACCATTCTGATGTGAAATTTTGTTTTACTGTTTAAAATGTGAAATATTAAATAGATTTTTTTGAGACAGTCTTGCTTTAAACAGATTTTTAATGACCATTCCAAGCCAATTTAAGATTAGGTAGCTAATTTAAAATTACAATTCTTTAATAAAAAATCATCACTATCAGAAGATTAACATTGTCCAAAACCTGTAACTTAATGCCATGTTTACTTAAGGTGCCTGAAGTCATGAAGTCATTTGTTTGGTTTAGGATAAGCAAAAATACTCATTATACTTTGTAAGTAATCAATATAAGAGTGCTGATTCCTAGATTAGTTATGAGCACAAGTCTTATAAAAACCAATCTGAACTGATTTGAAGGGAACTAGGTAGAGTATCACGCCTTGTTCATGGGTGATATGTTCCAAGTCCCTCGTGAATGCCTGAAGCCAGAGATAGTACTAAACTCTATCTACATTATGTTTTTTCCTATGCATACATACCTATGATAACATTTAATTTATAAACATGGCACAGTAATAACTAATAACAAATAGAACAGTTATAATAATACGCTATAATAAATAAAAGTTACGTGGTGAATATGGTTTCTCTGTTTCACAGTATTTTACTATATTCTGTTTACCCTTCTTATGATGGAGGTGGGGGACAATGCAAGGTTTCATCATGCTATACAGAACAGTGTGCAGTTTATATAACTCATGAATTGTTTATTTGTAGAATTTTTCATTTAATATTTTCAGACCATGGTTGACCACAGGTAATGAAAACTGTAGAAAGTGAAACCATAGATTG